ATAATCTCTTCATCAGAGAACAATAAAACTCCTAAGTCAGGACTTTCTTTACAATATGTGGTGAGTGAATCATAATTTTTTAGCTTAGTTCTCTCTTGATTTGGTTTCAATATGTCTAAATATCAATTGAGTTAGGATGCCTGTGTGATGTACAGGACTAGTGAAATATAAATACTTTAAAACTTATTTAAGCATTTGCTGAGAGGCCTAATGATGCTAATAAGGCAGAACAGTGTTGAAACTAACAAATGTTTGAATCTGTAATAAAAGTATTAATACAACCTTTGTTAATAAAATTGTTAAAGGATTTGATGTTTTTAGTTATAACTAAATTCTTTGTTATACAAAACCAAGGGAAAACAGCAATTTTATTTTTTTCCTTCATTACTCTTTAGGAAATGTGAAGATTGTCACAGTCTGTTTTAGATAAATGTTATGTTTTAAGAACATTCTAAGTTTTATGGCATTTTACCTCCAGAAGACCCTTGTTGCTAATTTCCTCCGCAGAGTCATTTCAGTCTAAAACATTTACCATTTCTGCTTTTGTTTTACCACAGTGGCTTAGGCACTCAGAGGTTATGCTTCAGAAGGAGAAAAAAACAATCCTAAGATTCCTAGCTTCACATGCTGATGTTTCCTGCTACAATGTAATNATAGACCACATGTACACACATGCACACACAAGCTCACACATGCACACAAACAAGCATAGACCACATGTACATGCACACACACATGCACAAGCTCATACACATGCATGCACACATGTGCACACCCACCACGTTTCTGACTTTGGAGGCCTGTTGCCTTTGGCTCTCCCTGATTTTACTGCCTGGGGCAGGAGCCGCAAGGAAGTCCTGATAGGAGTCGCAGATGGTTCTGGAATGCTGAACCCTGAGGTGAGGCTCCTGGCTGTCCAGGGCTCCTGGGTCGCAGTGGCCGGGGGTCTACCTGGAGTCCCTTCAGGGCCCTGTGCTGCCCTTTCCCTCTGCTGGCCGGTGGCTGTGCAGAGGGTGGGGTCTGCCCAGTGCCAAGAGCCGACTGGGCGGGGCTGGGGGGAGGAGGTCCTGGTGTCCATGTGGGTCCAGACCTGTCCTTGCGTTTGGCTGACACTGGAGGTGCTGCTGGCCCCCCATTCCCTTCTTGGACACCTGGCTGGGCCTCGTCACCCGAGGCCCTGCCCCAGGTCAGCCTCCCTGTCCATCACAGGCATTTTCCTGGCCCGTCATCTCCCTGTTCTGTCCACGTAAAACTGCAGCCCCCAGAGAGATGGCCTCCAACTGGGTGCTGTCCTCTGCGGCTGGGATGCCTGGAGGATCAGGGACCTGTCCCTCCCCACCACATGGTGGTCTGAGCAGGGCCGGTGGCAGAGGGCTCCTCCAGGGCCTGTCTCCCAGCCCCTCCCCACAGAGGCCATAGCTGCCCCTTAGTGACTCCCCCACCTGTTGGGGACCTCAGCTCAAACTCCTGCTTAGAGGCTGGAGAGTCAGCTCAGCACCACAATGGCTTCTCCCTGGGGGACCCTCTAAGCTGTGGATCTAATCACCCCAACTCCCTGACTAGAGGAGTCACCAGCCAGGGGCATCACATACTTTTTTTTTTTTTGTCTTTTTCCATGTCCGGCAACGGATCGCAACCCTCAGTGTCGCCACC